AGTAAGAAGGGAGACAAAATGTGTTTTTTTCCTTCACTATTGTTTTGGAATGGCAACGAAAAGTCATTTAACACAAATATTACAAAGCTTCAGAGCGTCCTGCCTTGATGCCAAACCTACAATATACAGGCTCTGTCGGAGGTCCGGCGACAAAATAGATGCCTTAATTAAAACACGGTACTTGGAAACTAATTTTAACGTTAAGCACTGCAGACTCAAGGTGAAAAAAAGGTTACACACTGTGCAAAGAGGCAAAAAAGAAAGGCTAACTTTCAATATTCCCGCGTGACCACAGAATGGATACGAAATGAATAGTAACCAACCGAACATAGCTCGCATCGTAAGTTTCTTCTCAACGTTACCCATTTTTTATCAAATCTGACTTGGGGAATGGGGTACGTTTTCTGCCAAATTTTCCACGATTTCACAATAATAACGACGCTTAACAAAAGAAAATTATGTGTTTCTTGCCCTCTGTGAAAAGATCATTTCTAGTGTTCTGATTGGTTGCTGAGTGCCTGTTGCCAGTGCATAAACAGCGCTGTGTTTTGATCTTATTAGGGAAACAAACGTGCTAATTGTCTTTAAGCTACAGTTGCCCATTTGTCTGTCCGCCCATTCGTGCGCACGCTCATTTGTCCGTTTATCCATCGAGCCAATCACAATCATCCCAGCCGAGTCAGGATTCCGACCGTTTACTTACCGTCTTGCGGGGGCTGGTGATCTTTCTTTCTGTCAATAAGCAACTGACAGAACACCAGTATTACGGGATGGCTGTGGGCAACCAGCACAGTCACATAACCAAGGTATGCGACAAAAGCTGAAAGGAAAATGAAGAAAATTTGAAGTGAGAGTCGAAGGTTGTCCAGGATCCCATAGGTTATACTTTAGTTAGCACAATGACAACTCTATAAATCTCGTGCAACCCTCTCGAACAATCAGACGCAAAGCCATTACAAATCGCTACTTAACCACTACCTTTTGCTGCGTTCTGGGAAATTTGTTGGATCTTGTCACTGAGGAGTTTCTGTTCGACCTTCCTTTCGTCGCAGAAGTCTTACAAACATTAATTCATTGGTTAAAAGCTGTTTTAGGAAATAGTGAACAACATGGCAGCATAATAGGTCTGTATGTTGTATATCTCACTTCGCATAGCCTCTGCCACTTATAAATTGCTTGTACTGGGTGCGTGCTACGTATCTTTCTCCCAAGCCTGGAACCCAAGCGTAAAGCCTATAGTTTGGTCATGTTTTCTAATATGTACTTATAGACAAAGGAACTATGCTCATTCTCCCCAGTCCTTTCAGCGCCCTTCGATCAACCTAAGCAGGCGGTGGTTTAACGACCATCACACCAACTAAAAAAATAAATAAATAAAAAAGTAGCATGTTTATGTCATTGTGCTACACTCCGGATTAATGAAAATGAAAAGTTAAAAAATGTAATATGAGGCCCTGTCCAAACTTGGCCTATAAATAGTGAAACAGCACAGCTACAAAATAGAATCATGGATCACGAAATAAACAATGATACACGATTTTCAGTTTCGAGTTAGATGAGCTCATATTCAGCTTCTTCAATACCGCTGGTGTTACCAAGTGCACCGTTTTGTTACACACTTGTGGGGCAAATCACATTTTCACAGGAGTTCAGGTGAGAACAAAATAAATTAATAGCGACCTAATGCAGTGAATGAGATAAACGGGTATTGACTAAAGATACAAATAGAAATAATTTAAAACATGAGACAAAAGAATGAAAGAAATATCGATCTTGTTTACTCGTCACGAACGCAGGATCGAATCTTAGACCATCGGATTTTACGATCTGAAGTTCAGCCACAAAGCTATATATTTCTCGTTAATGAGCCATGACATACAGTGGATACATAAAGGATCATCCTGCATACTGCTTAGATCGTCAATGTCGAAAGTTTCATGTTTTAAAATACATAAGGATAGAAAGGAAATTTTAAGCTCTTTCGTGACAAAGGAAAAAATCATTTTTAACCGACGACCGAAAAAAAAAACCCTATCCGTCAGGTCAGGTTAAACGACAGATTAAATATCAATGCTGACATGTAGATAAACATACCAGACCTTGAGGTAGCTTATTTATCTTCCCATGAGGAATTTACGAAGCTGCGGCATTTCTGATTTCAGTATCATGTGTGTAACTTGTCTGTATGAACTATTATGCATTTATTTATGGCCTCGCTTACTGCATCCAAACTCAGCAGACAATTTTGGAGCTCAAAGAGACAGAGAGCTAAGGTCTCAGATTTCTCTTCCAACTTAAAGACAAATGGTTTAGTAAAAATTTATTCATAAAATTCCTGTAGGATACACTGAGGGTTTCTGTACACAAAGATGCATGGAGTACACAGATTTAACAAATTTTGAATATCTTCCTCGGATATTTCTTTAAGAATAGTATTTATGGTATCGCTTTAATTCTTTCCAAGACGCGAAACGATTTAAATATGCTTTTCTTTAGATACAACGACAAGTCAAGTATTTTTCTTGCAAAAGAACTTTATTGGAGTTAAATTTATTGCAAGTATTCTTGAGGTGAGGAAAGTTAATGAAGAAATCTGTAGCATATTATAATCAAAATAGGAGAAAATTGGAATAAAAAGTATACATAAAGAATACATATTATTGATGTGATTTCTTTAGCTTTGTATCTCTCTCTAGTGATTTCGCTGGACACCTACGCTTTTGATTGCAAAAATATTAAGTGCAGAATTGGCGGGAGTTATTTACAAGAAAAAAGCTTACCGTTATTATTTTTAGAAACTTCATGAAGTTGTCACGGTGAGAGCGGAAAATGAAAATTTGAGAGAACTGTAACGCTAACGGGAAGATGACCAAAACAAATGTGTATCATATTGAACGAGGGATATAACGAGTTAATTACTTGAAGAGAAATTGCATCGGTTCAATAAAACCCACGGTGTGAATTCATCCTTATCGATTCGGTTATGGCACAGTGTAACATGTCCTGCTCTGAGGAGAAAAGGGGTTTCGCGGTTTGCGAGTGTTTTGCACCAAAAGAAAAAGAGCTGAATTAAAATCACAGAATTAATTAATCGCCATGGAGAAACATATAAACAACTAATGATAAAAAAGAATTTAAAAAACAAACATGAAAACAGGCGCAATAACTTTCTTAGAGAAGAACAGCAATTTTGATCACGAAACTGGGCATTAGATGAAGTTAGATTTTTCAAACTAGTGAATAATTTTATGTTACCTTCATTGTTTTATCGAACTTGTTGTAAAGCAAAATATTATGTTTGATATTTTCAGGCATGTAGAATTAACAAATGATATCACTTGGAGAATAGAGGGATTCAGAGGATAACAGTTTAACAGGTACAAATCAATTTTCATTCTGTAACTTATTAGAGCTGTTTAGAGCTCATTTCATTTATAAATAAAGGTCATAATCTTAATTTTCGTGCGGCTGACAACAGTTAAGTTTAATTTCAGTCGAATTTTCTCGGTTATTGTTGTCAGACGTGAAAGTATTTCTCTTACATACACTTATAAATTTCATTGGTTTCACTCATTTGCCTCGTGGTTAAATAGTCTGCACGCGATGCAATTTCTTAAACCCTTAAACTCCTAGAAGTGATATAACTTGTAACTTATCCCTGTAATATCAGTACATTATCCAGCAAATAGGTAACGAGAATACTCAAAGTTTTATTTAGCAGAATTGGTTATTTTTGGTTAACACCAAATTTTCGTACCTACTTTGAAAGAAAACATGTAGCACGTTGTGGTATCATTTCTGACTGGTTATCTATCAGAGTTCGGTTTTAGTAGATATACCTTTTCACGCGATGACAAACTAAATGGGCACAATGTTTGCGTGTTTACATCGTGCGCTGAAGATAAAACTGTGGGCTCAGTAAATGCTGATATTGGAGCAGAATCCTGTTCTGTAGGGCAAGACCACTTCAACAGCTTCAGGGAAATGCCCTAAATTTCCCGCTCGCTATAATATAGCAAAAGATTCTTTTTTGATCAGCAATTCGTTCACAAATAATTTTTCAGTTTCATTTTGCTTTCAGTCTACTTCCTCCGCCAAATGCTCATGGCCTGGCAGTGAATCCATTCGATGGCCTACAAGATTAAGCTATGCAGGAGTCTCTGGGTTGCGCATGGCTTTCAATTTGTTGTAGATGAAGTTTCTTGATAACAAGAGTTTTGATGAATAGGACACTTTCCAATGCCATCTTCTCCAGTCCCTCAAAATAACCTCGTATTCAGTGCCTTTTTTGAATTCGAAATGAAAAAACCGGATAACATAATTTGGAGAGGGACCAGCTCTTCCAGTTATTCTAAATTTCCTGGTTCCTTCAAAAAAAAAAATTAATGAAGGAGTTTATGTATTAGAACTTATAGTTCTGTTAAAAAAGACTTTGTCCAGCAATTTTCGATATCTTTAAGGGACATTTTACACATGCACTTTGTAGAGGAACAGGGTCGATAAACGAGTTTCTTTACGCAATAGGCTCGCGGGGTGTTGGCAGAATTCGTGGCGGTAACGCAAACCCTCGAAGGTGTTTCGGATTCTAATAAGTTTCGCGAATTCTCCCAGCCCCACACGCGATGAAATGAAGGAATAAGAGAAAGAGTCTTTTAATGCATTAATTTTGATCCATGCTTATCCATGCCTACCGGGTACAATTAGGTTGTTTATTGCAACTCACGTATTTTGATGAGGGACAGCCTCGAACGACGTTTCATCAGATGAGACTACGAAAACAAACAAACAAACCATTAAAAAAACAAACATGACACAACCCGCGGAACTTGACTGGGGCTGTCACGCAACCACAATAGCGTGACGGAGGAGACTTTGAGATTCTTATTCTTCCTCTGTGATTAAGTATACAACGTTTTCTTTAGGTTACTTTCATTCGAGTCTCTTCTTTTTTATTTTTAAGCATGTAGCGCAGTACAATCGTTTGAATTTTATTTCTAGCTATGGCAGAAAGCAATCTCCCAACAACGGGAGCAGAACTGGAGGTGGAAAATGAGTTTCCAGTCACAGGTGAGAGAACGCAACATGGAAAGACTTAGTTATAGTGATTTTGTACTGTTTGTTAATTAAGTATATCTTAATTCTGGTGTACTATTTATTAGACCACTTCGACTGGAAGGTTCTAGAAATCCACTAATTACACCAGCATTAGAACGCTAGTTGTAATTGCACGTAGTTGTGATCACTAACAAAGTTGAAATATCTTCTTAGTAATTTCAGCAACAGAGGAAAGTCAAGTTACGTCAAGTGACGCTGAACTGGATGTATACAATGACCCTTTAAGAGGTGAGAAAACCAGGTGAAATAAGATTGTTTAAAAGACGCCCCAGTAAATTTTTTGTCACATTTACATCAAAATTTGTGCATGTTCTGTGAATAAGTTTTTGAACCAGTAAAAGATTGTTTCTTCAAATTCAAACTCTGTTACCAGTAAAATGAGAACCAAAGGAAACAACAATTTATTGCTCGATCCTCTCAAGTAAAATGCATAGACATCATTAATTATTCATAAGCAATAAAGTGACAAATTTGAAGGCGACTTAGCTTTGAAGAGCCCTAAGTTAAAGAAGAATGGGCCAAAATTTGCCTACAAAGCTTCTGAGTTTTAGAAGTGCTTACTTGTAAATCAACGCACAATGTTTTGGAGATTAACGATGTATCTAAAATTTACACCTAAAATGAACGATATTTGCACAGAAAAAGTATTATCCTCTTTGCTCTTGAAAGTATTCTAAATTTGGTCATTTTTAGTATGAAAGTCATTTTCGGTAAGAGAGAGCTGTTTCTGCCCGTAGACCCGTCAAAGTCGAGTTTTGAAAAATTTGCAAACGGGTAACTTTTTTAGGACGCCAAAAGGAAAGTATTTACGCTAACACCTTCTTGTCCTTTACTGTTCAATACATGTTTGGCAGAAATTTTACGCAATTTGAGAATTCTACAAGGAAGAGGAGGCATTTTGTCATTTTATCAGAACATTAAAAATTTTAACCTTTTTCGGTCCTTGCTTTGCTTTGCTTTATGCATTTTTTCTCAGTAACTCATGGAGTTTTATAATCTAACGTGATATTTTGGAAAGCGTAACGCAGGTGTAAAAAAGGGTTTTTGGAAAGTCTCTCGACCTAAATGTAAACCGAACAGACTTGATCTGGTAATAGCCAAGCTACAGCCCAGACTCCCAACAGCTTATACATTTTACTTAAACAAACTGTACAGGTATTAGACTTTTCTGATTTTTTTTCATAGCTTTAAGCTCCTGTAACCTAAAAGTTCGTTTGGATATATAAAGTTGGCATCATCCGTCAAGGGTCGTTTCACTCATTACTAAATCATTAACACCAAAACGTTGTGTTTTCAGAAATAGCAAAAGTATGTCTGGAGGAAGGTAATAAAGAGTACAGACAAGGAGAAGCTTATAACGCCATAAACTCCTACACGGAAGGACTTCAAGTGAACTGCAAGGATAAACGACTGAACGCCAAGCTTTACAGCAACAGGGCAGCAGCTCATTTCCGTTTGGGTAACAATTTCATATGTAAACATATAAATCTGTCGTGCAGCGTTACAAGGTAACGGAATACACAATCTGCATCAAGGAAAGAAAAAACTTGAGCAACTGCAGAAAAGTAGCATGAAAACATAAATCGCCCTGTAGCGGATGAAAATTAAGCAAAGAAATGATCCTCGTTACATTTTAAGCAATTGTAGTTTTTTAAGGCTCCTTTGCTGCAATTGCATATGATGAGCACTTTTTTAAACCTCATTTCCTGAATCTCATAGCAAACTACGTGGAATGTCTGGATGATGCAACAGTTGCTGTTCAATTGGAACCCACTTTCATCAAAGCTATTAAGAAAGGTGGGTTTTTCAGACATAAGCCATCAACATTTTATTCTCTGATTTCGTCAAAAGAGGATTTTGTGGTTTGTGGCAGGTGACTGCACCCCAAATGTCAATTGTATCTGGTGTGTCAATGTCTGCTATGTGGGTAAAAAGCATAAGAAAATGTCAATAAGCTCTCAAATACCGCCATCTGGTTAGTTCACGATGTAGAGCGCCGGAGCTCGAGAGTTCAAGCCCTAGACCAGAACAACACTCGGTCTAAAAATATCTGAGGAGAATGTGCTGCCACCTAGCTATGACATCTGCAAATGGTTTGATATTCTTGTCCCGGATATGGACGGAAAACCGTAACCCCCGTTTCCTGCATCTTCTCTGTAACTCTTAGCAGGGGACGTTAAAAAACCTGGCAAGGAGGTAACCTGAAAAGATCCCTTTCATAAGTTATACTGCACAATGCAGTCTGCCCGAAAACTTCCCCGAAAAGTGTTGAAAAGCGCATAAGAGCACATTAAAATGAAGAACGCGCGAGATAAATTTATCGTTATCATCATCAATTGAAGCTTAATTGGTGGCCGCTTTGTATTAGCTCCTTATTGTTGATTTTCAGTTCTTCCACAAGTTCAAATTTCCTTCATTATCACAATTTTTGTTCCCAGCTAAATGGGAATTAAGTCCATTTTATCAAATATCAGTACTTTCATACCTCAACAGTGATAAATTACCTCGCACCACCGATTATTCTCCCCTTTTCAGGAGCCAGAGCTTGTGTCCAGCTTTGCTGGTATAAAGAAGCAAGGAGCTGGTTGTATATGGGATTGGCCGTATCCTTTAACGAATGTTTCAAACGTGATACGAGATGCATTGCGAGTAATATTTCAAGAGAAATCAATACGTTCCGGAGAGATTCTTCAACACATAACGCAAGCAATGTTCTCTTATACTGCACTGAGCAGTTTAAAGAAGCTAAAATATTCTTAAAGAGTTCTTTCGATTATTCCACGAAACTTTACTCAAAAGAAGAGGACACATAAATTAATTCTCAGAGTTTGAGATCAATGCCCCTCATTTTTGTCTTCAGACGAGTATCACCATGACGACCGAACCTAAACCAATAAGTGCGCTTCAGAGCTAGTTAAAACTCTCCAATAACTTGAAATCAAATCTCTAAAAAGACCCACATTCGAATTATCATCCCAGTTTTAAGGTTCTATCTAATACTCTGGCCGTTTTTTTAAAATACACATTTCACCGCATTTTCACAAATCTGCTCATGACCCTTGACACGTTTCAAGATTGAAAATAACAACAAACGTCTGCTTCAATTAGTACGGAAAACTAATGCTGAACTATTAGTCACAGCAAACGGTTCTTCCAATCTCGGCAACGCTTATCAAGGTCTAGGACAGTTCAAAACAGCCATCCAGTACCATCAACGTCATCTAGAAATTGCTAAAGAAGTGGGAGACAAGGCCGGAGAGGGACGAAGTTATTGCAATCTCGGCAACGCTTATCAAGGTCTAGGACAGTTCAAAACAGCCATCCAGTACCATCAACGTCATCTAGAAATTGCTAAAGAAGTGGGAGACAAGGCCGGAGAGGGAGGAAGTTATGGCAATCTCGGCAACGCTTATCAAGGTCTAGGACAGTTCAAAACAGCCATCCAGTACCATCAACGTCATCTAGAAATTGCTAAAGAAGTGGGAGACAAGGCCGGAGAGGGAGGAAGTTATGGCAATCTCGGCAACGCTTATGACAGTCTAGGACAGTTCAAAACAGCCATCCAGTACCATCAACGTGATCTAGAAATTGCTAAAGAAGTGGGAGACAAGGCCGGAGAGGGACGAAGTTATTGCAATCTCGGCAACGCTTATAAAGGTCTAGGACAGTTCAAAACAGCCATCCAGTACCATCAACGTGATCTAGAAATTGCTAAAGAAGTGGGAGACAAGGCCGGAGAGGGACGAAGTTATGGCAATCTCGGCAACGCTTATGACAGTCTAGGACAGTCTAGGGACAGTTCAAAACAGCCATCCAGTACCATCAACGTGATCTAGAAATTGCTAAAGAAGTGGGAGACAAGGCCGGAGAGGGACGAAGTTATTGCAATCTCGGCAACGCTTATCAAGGTCTAGGACAGTTCAAAACAGCCATCCAGTACCATCAACGTCATCTAGAAATTGCTAAAGAAGTGGGAGACAAGGCCGGAGAGGGAGGAAGTTATGGCAATCTCGGCAACGCTTATGACAGTCTAGGACAGTTCAAAACAGCCATCCAGTACCATCAACGTCATCTAGAAATTGCTAAAGAAGTGGGAGACAAGGCCGGAGAGGGAGGAAGTTATGGCAATCTCGGCAACGCTTATGACAGTCTAGGACAGTTCAAAACAGCCATCCAGTACCATCAACGTGATCTAGAAATTGCTAAAGAAGTGGGAGACAAGGCCGGAGAGGGACGAAGTTATTGCAATCTCGGCAACGCTTATAAAGGTCTAGGACAGTTCAAAACAGCCATCCAGTACCATCAACGTGATCTAGAAATTGCTAAAGAAGTGGGAGACAAGGCCGGAGAGGGACGAAGTTATGGCAATCTCGGTAACGCTTATACAGGTCTAGGACAGTTCAAAACAGCCATCCAGTACCATCAACGTGATCTAGAAATTGCTAAAGAAGTGGGAGACAAGGCCGGAGAGGGAGGAAGTTATGGCAATCTCGGCAACGCTTATCAAGGTCTAGGACAGTTCAAAACAGCCATCCAGTACCATCAACGTCATCTAGAAATTGCTAAAGAAGTGGGAGACAAGGCCGGAGAGGGAGGAAGTTATGGCAATCTCGGTAACGCTTATGACAGTCTAGGACAGTTCAAAACAGCCATCCAGTACCATCAACGTCATCTAGAAATTGCTAAAGAAGTGGGAGACAAGGCCGGAGAGGGACGAAGTTATGGCAATCTCGGCAACGCTTATGACAGTCTAGGACAGTTCAAAACAGCCATCCAGTACCATCAACGTGATCTAGAAATTGCTAAAGAAGTGGGAGACAAGGCCGGAGAGGGACGAAGTTATTGCAATCTCGGCAACGCTTATAAAGGTCTAGGACAGTTCAAAACAGCCATCCAGTACCATCAACGTCATCTAGAAATTGCTAAAGAAGTGGGAGACAAGGCCGGAGAGGGAGGAAGTTATGGCAATCTCGGTAACGCTTATAAAGGTCTAGGACAGTTCAAAACAGCCATCCAGTACCATCAACGTCATCTAGAAATTGCTAAAGAAGTGGGAGACAAGGCCGGAGAGGGAGGAAGTTATGGCAATCTCGGCAACGCTTATCAAGGTCTAGGACAGTTCAAAACAGCCATCCAGTACCATCAACGTCATCTAGAAATTGCTAAAGAAGTGGGAGACAAGGCCGGAGAGGGAGGAAGTTATGGCAATCTTGGTAACGCTTATGGCAGTCTAAGACAGTTCAAAACAGCCATCCAGTACCATCAACGTCATCTAGAAATTGCTAAAGAAGTGGGAGACAAGGCAGGAGAGGGAAGAAGTTATGGCAATCTTGGCAACGCTTATAAAGGTCTAAGACAGTTCAAAACAGCCATCCAGTACCATCAAAGTCATCTAGAAATTGCTAAAGAAGTGGGAGACAAGGCCGGAGAGGGAGGAAGTTATGGCAATCTCGGCAACGCTTATAAAGGTCTAGGACAGTTCAAAACAGCCATCCAGTACCATCAACGTCATCTAGAAATTGCTAAAGAAGTGGGAGATAAGACCGGAGAGGCGTTCTCACTCTGTTCCCTTGGAAGCAGTTTCGAGTGCCAAGAAAATCTTATGAAGGCCTTTGACTGTTACTACTCGAGTGTAGAACTGCATGATGATATCAGGGCCAGTCTTGGACTCAACGATCAGTGGAAGATTTGTTATCGTAATCAGCACCAAGTAGCATACAAAGGTTTCTGGCGTATACATCTCAATCGAGGTCAAGTTGTGAAGGCTCTTCTTGCCACAGAGAAAGGACGTGCTCAAGCTCTGAGAGATCTCATGGTCACAAAATATCAGCCTGGAGATTCTTTAATGCCCAGCGCATCCCGCATTTCTCTGAGGTGGGTTCCACTGAGCACAGTGTTCATAGCTATTAATGGACCATGCGTTTACCTCTGGGTTTGCCTCAGTGAAAATAATATCCAGATGAGAGAAGTACACGTGAACAATTATAAGTATGAGGATGAATTGGAATGTTTCATCCAGCTTCTGAACAAAACTGCTCTGAAGGAGATCGGTGTAAGGGATACTGTTACAATCGAAAGTCTTCCTCGTGATTCGCCGACAGAGGAGGAAGTAGCCGATGATGTGATTCGAGTCGATGTGAGGCACTCCCAATCAAGTGCTTTAAAGAAGCTGCATGACATCATCATTACTCCTATTGCTGATCTGATCGAAGGCAACGAACTAACATTCGTTCCTGAGGGGCCATTTTGCCTTGTACCTTACGCAGCGTTGCAGGACTCCAACTCATCATATCTAAGTGATTCTTTCAAAACTCGTGTGCTTCCTTCTCTGACGACCTTGCAATTAATTCATGATTGTCCAGCTGACTTTCACACGAAGACTGGTGCATTGCTTGTCGGCGACCCATGTTTCAAACATATCATCTATGAGGGAACACTTTTGGTGCAACTTCCAGGAGCAAGGAAAGAAGTGGAGATGATCGGACGTATACTCAATGTCTCCCCTCTCACTGGAGAAATGGCAACAAAACATGAAGTGTTAAAACGAATATCATCAGTGGCCTTAGTTCACATAGCAGCGCACGGTAAAATGGAAACTGGAGAAGTTATTCTGGCACCAAACACCACAAGAGATAACCCTCAGCCGCAAGAGAAAGCCTATCTGCTGACGATGAAAGATGTCATAGAAGCTGGGTTGCGAGCACGTCTGGTTGTACTTAGCTGCTGTCACACTGCTCGTGGGGTGGTCATGGCCGAGGGTGTGGTCGGCATGGCGCGTGCACTTTTGGCTGCCGGTGCCCGATCTGTTGTAGCAACCTTGTGGGCGATTGGCGACGAAGGAACCCTAGAGTTCATGAGTTTCTTCTACGATGCACTTGCCAAAGGCAAGAAGGCCAGTGAAGCTCTCAATCAGGCCATGAAGTGTATGAAAGAAATTGAAAAGTTCAAGGAGGTTTGGCAGTGGGCACCATTTGTACTCATTGGTGACGACGTCAACCTGGATTTCAAGGAGATTTAGAAGCTGCAGCAAGTAATAATTCTGTTGATACATTCTATTCAATACCAAGTTACATGAAATCATAAGCTTTGCTCATATGTGAGCAGTGATACTTGCGTGTTATTTTCCTTTCAGTTGGGTTGCGAATTTATTTTTCTCTCCGCAAACTGAGAAGCAGCACAATCAAGTGGACACGTTTACGATATGATGATAACATTCTTTTTTGGAAACATTAGATTTTGTTTTAATTTGTTTTAAAACAATTCTGTTGTACAATGTATCGTTTCATGTGCTAAGAAATATTTCATGGCAACTCAACTATCCTCCCTAAACTTAGATTCTTTCATTTTTCAGTTAAGGCAGTTAGCATTGGAATCCCAGGGAGTTTTCGGATACCTACAAATGCTGATATTTGGACCAGAAACCAGTAAGCTACCGATGAAACCTTTGTCAAGAGTCTTCTTTTCATCAAAGCAGGAAGAACCAAAAGACGGACAAAGTCAAGTTTAACAAGGGAACAGATTTCCATTGATTCAAAAGTTGCCTTTTTGCTTGTCTGAACTGCTTTTACGAGCTTAATATCCTTCTCAAACTACTGTTTGTTTTTGTTTTTTGTTTTTGTTTTCATATGATGTCTTAAAGTTATCATGACTAGCTATGTGAGTTATTTTTAATCTAAGTATTTTTTACTGAGAGGATTTGGGCGTAACATTTACGTCGAAGTTGAAACGTCTTGAAAACGTTTTCCATAGTATTTTACAGACTTTTTTCAATCGGTTTACTCTCATGAGTGATATAAAGCTATTACAGCCATGTGCGTGTGTAGAGAATTTCCATAGTAATTGAAGAATAATCAGTTGTCCGATTGCTCGATTATCTTAGTCTATGTCAGATGGAAATTGTGATTAACTTTAGTTTAGTTTCTGCTGATCAGACTTTGGTTTATCTGGACTGAAAATGACAGATTTTGGCCGTAATGGCGAGGATTTAGTCTTGGTATAAGTTAATTTTCTGAGATTTCTCCTTTAATTTTGAATGCGATAAATTGCGTTATTTTTTATAAGCAGAACGATGCATTTTAAGTATATTGTTTAATCTAATCGCCCAAAGGCAAAACGAAACGAGAAGTTTTATTTTATAATTTAAGTTATGGCTTACAAAGCATTGAAGGAAGCTCAGAACGAGCTGGAAAGTTGGAGCCAAATGATTTTATTTAGTTTCTCCGATTAGACTGTTTACTTATTATCTAAGAACAATAAACTAACATTTGAATGTCAAACAATGAAACAAGTCGCTTGGTATTTTGTTGGAATGAAAGAGGAAATCAATAACGAAGGGAAGAAAATTTCTACATCAACCTGCATAAAGCCATTTCTTGTCGTTTGAAGTAGGGAGCGCGCCTGTGTCTTATTCGCTTAATAAGTTTTGCCATTTTTCCGCTACGGTTAACCCAGACTAACACAAAATAACACATTGTAGGAAGGAAATATTTTTAAGGTCAATTTTTTTCTACAACTAAGGGTTCAAATTTGTCAATATTTACGCCTAACAGCTAGTTTTTTTTACCGATATACGGCTAACGGTTAACCCCATGGAGACCCTCGTTTGGGTGACATGCAAGATGTAAAATGAAAACGGTTTTAGAAGATGGCATTTGCAACTCGAATGTAGAGAGCTGGTTTTTGAGGAGTGAGGAAAACCGAGAAAAACAAGCCATGAAAAATCTTGGAGGTAAGGATCAACCTGGGAGAGACGGTCATGGGGAGAGCGTTGTCGCTAGCATTCCTCTTATGTTCCATCTGAGATGCTTAATGAAGCTAACGCGAGACATTCACCGAAGTGAAGGCGAACAAGGATAAATTTCCTTCCCCCTTTAAAGACCTTGTATCGGATCCAAAAAGTCAGTAAGCCCTGATATTTTGACTTCACCCCAGATCTAAAAAACTTCGACAACTTAGATGTTTTAGTAGGAGTTCGCTGCTGATGATAGCATAGATTACATAGATTACATAGATCATTTACGAAAGAGCCATGGGAAGGGGGGAGGGGTGGGTCGAGGTTCCGTTTATTCCCCCGGGATGGGAGTGTGCATAGATACGTGTTTTCAAGGGTAGCATCACAGGTGGGGTTCTTAAAGATAAGAATTTTCCGTCTGCTTACACTTTCTCTACGTGCTGTATAGCCCTACTCCATCTACCCATCTTACAGCGGTTTTGAGTATATACCACACAGGTGAATAGTGCTTTTTGCGTGGGCTGTTGGTTTGGTGTTTATCGCCTGCGCGTGTATCAACCCGGGAATCGACTTTCCAACTCTAGCTTGAAAAGAAACATTTAAACTCGTAGCGGTTTTTTAATATATACCATATTAGTGAATAGATCGAGCTCTTCACGTCGGCAGATTGGCTTATTCGGAATGAATAGTCGAACCTGTATTAAGCGGTCGGTTGTAAAATTCCTGAATTTTTCCTCTGTATTTTCTTTTTCACCGCTTTTCAGCGGTGGTCTCTATTAAGCGGTTGTGGTCATCCTTGACTGAGTCCCATCGGCCTGTTCGCGTTGTATGGAACAGTCACTTAGGGCGGAATCACTCGAATAAAACGACGAATTGTCTCTGAAGTAAATTTATTCCATTTTTGTCTCCTAAAATCAATGTTAGTATTTAGAGTTCAAAGGTCCTCAACGCATTGCAGATTATCTTCCCTCTTAGGACTATTTGTATCTGACAAATATTACGCAAGAAAATTACGCAAATCATTTGCTGGGTAATTATCAAGAGGTCTAACTGTTAGAATTCTAATTTATTGTTCTGTTTTTACGCTGCATCATCATTTGGTTGAGGTTATTCGATACATTTTAGTCATAAATTCAAGTGTGAAGTGAAAAAGACAACTGCACTTTATTTCCAGAAAATAAAAAAATTAAAAATTAAAAGAATCCACATACAATTTCAGAAGAAATAAATGAACAAGTCCTACTCTAATTTAAGACACGGAACAGAACGAAAAGGAAGATCTGAAATTTTAGAAAGAGAGATTTTTAATTTGCAAAACAAGAATCCGTGAGAGGGTCTATTAGAAACCTCAAAAAAATCATCCGTAAAACTGCAAAAAAAAAAACAACAACAACAACAACAACAACGACAAAAATTCGATCAAAAACCGAAAACCGCATGCAAAACCGTCAAAATATATAAATGTTCACATCCCAGTTCTCAAAACCTTAATCGATCCGATACAGTTTTAACCTTAGAGCGCAGTCATTCGTGAAAATATCGACATCCACAGCAGAGTACGTACCCCTGAGAAGTGTTCTCCGCGGATCTATTTGCCATTTTCAAAGGAATCTAGCGGGGCAACTGCAAGCGGTTCAACCTCCCTAGTCTGACAGCTCCTTTCATTTGGTTCCGTGAATTTGAATTAGATTATGGTTTATCTTATGACCTATCGTCTTTCTCGGAAAATTAGCGGAAGAGAAATAGCAGGAGTCTGGAAGCTAGCTAGGTTGGTGGGAAAGCGCACTCCGACATCGACACCGAATTTCGCCTAAATTGGTATTTATTACCATACATGGTAAAATTTCCTTTATCATGAATCTTTTATTTAGCGCTTGGTAGGTAATTTGACAACATGTTTTAAACAAGAGTTTCATTCCACTACATATATCTAACCCAAGGTATCTTTCTGGACTGGAATGTGAGAAATGGTATGGTACTGTGTGTTACCTAACTTTGTAGGAATAATTTTCAATAGTCTGTTGGAGTATATCTGGGTAGCTGAGTGAGGTTGATAAGTTACGATGTTTTGCCTTGTTTTTTTTTTAATCATAAACAGGGTTGTAAAATGAAGCAATTGTGTCTTCATTCTTTAACTCCCAAGATCTGTTTGCTAATTCTCTCCTCTAGCTGCTACACATTTCCTTGTACATTTGTTATAGGAATTTGTTGTTAGGTCAAAATAATAACTTTTTCACTACTCTTTAGTTGGATATTGTATGGATGTTTTAGGGAGAAGTTACATGTTAATCACATCTGAGAGTTTAAGGGTTAAACTGTGTAATGTGATACACTGCTACCTAAATTTCACTCAAGTTCGAAATATCCAGGACTTTAGCATTCCCTACAAATTTGTTCAAACTGCAGCTTACTAAGTCTGCAGAGCAGTTGCAGTATTCAATACTAATGCTTATTTTGTGATTTTGACAAGTACTGGTTAATTTTCATTTATTCAGACTGAAGGGAAAATGAAAGGCGACTGATAAAAAAACCTTGAGACTTCACCTAACCCAGACTATTTTTTCCCCAAGCCTGGTGTCCTTTCCAGAATAAATAAAATTATTATTATTATTATTATTATTATTATTATTATTCTCTTGATTTTCTGAGCTAGAGGAAAATGTCTTGTAAGAAAGTTGTGCTCCGAGGAACAACACCCCTTGATGTTATTCAATTCTGTTTGGTCTTTGTTGTTATTATTAGGTCCAGAGAATGGTATTGATCTCACATTTGTGTGAATAAAAAATAGGTAGTTGTTAATTTGCTTGGCAGGGCTTATGGAGTAGTGAAGATGATGACATTGCCTGGAAACAAAAACCAAAAGAAAATCAGAAGAAGAAGAAGAAAGGAAAAAACATTATTGACTCAGGTAATGTTTTAGGATGAACATGAACAGTTCCAAAAGGAACAGATGTTGAGACTCTACACAAACTGTTATACCTCTGTATTAGTTTTAATGGTGTATTGTGCTGTACAGTGTCCTTGTCAATTCCCAATGCAGTTTGCATTATTATGGAAACATGGTGTAAAAAGATTCACATAATTATACGTATAACATCACAATGATGTCCTGACCCTATTTCTAAATTAATCTTACATCTCTGTTAGATTCTGATGAAGATCCTCTTCCTCCAAAAATCAGGTATGTGATTTGTTTCTTGAATTTTGTTCCCTTTCATACAGTTGTAGTTAATCCTTTAACTCCCAGAAGTGATTAACATGAAACCTCTCCCTATGATATCTACACA